ATATATATATATATATATATATATATATACACAGTGGCGTAGATTGAGGGGGGTCAGGGGGGGGGGCGGAAAACCCCCCTCAAGAGCTAAACTGCCATTTTGTCGGAAAATTGCTAATCTTGTCGGAAAATAATCACGAAGAACGAAAATGCTTATTAGTTTTTGTCGGAAAATCTGCATTTCTCGCTCCCCCTATACAATTTCCTACCTACGCTACTGTATATATATATATATATATATATATATATATATATATATATATATATATATGTTTATATATATGTTTATATATATTGTTATATACATACATATATATATGTATATATATATGTGTGTGTGTGTGTGTGTGTGTGTGTGTGTGTGTGTGTGTGTGTGTGTGTGTGTGTGTGTGTGTGTGTGTGTGTGTGTGTATGTATATATGTATGTATGTATATAGTATACGAACTAAGAAATAAATGTATATGTGTAGTTAGATATCAGAAACAGCCATAAATCTTACATTCATACACATCCAAATCATCCATTTCCTTCAACATACAAAGAGAGAGAAGATAAATCTGAAAAAAGAATATCCAGGGATCCGAACGCCAACCGCTCGCGTGCAGACATTCGGACGCGGCGCCGTGTGTTGTTGCGATCAGCTGATTGAGTCCGAGTGACGTTTCCTTCCCGCAGCGTGTCCTTTCCTTCCCGCGGCGTGTCATGGAAAACTCGAAATTCAGGGTCAAGGTCAAGAGAGCAGAGCGGAGGGCTAGGATCCAGACGTACCGGCCCGAGTGGGAGGACGAGGCCGACCTCAAGGACTGGATCGAGTGCAGCGAGAAGGGGGTGGAGTACGTGTGGTGCCGAGTGTGCGAGTGTCACTTGAAGGCCAAGCACAGCGACCTCACGCACCATGCACAGACGGTCAAGCACAGGAGAGCTTTTGAGAATTGTGGGTGAGGGATTAACTGTTTTTATGGTGTACTGAAAAGAGTCAATTCGACTTTTAGAGTTTGTTCATGAGATTCATTTTCGCAAATCTTATTTTTACGAAATTCGAGATTGTAATACATATACAAGGCTGCTGTCCCCACAGTTTCAGTACTTTAAGTCATATTTCAAGACAGACACATGGGCAAAGCGCCTGAAGACCATGTTATTAATTGATATGAGGGGTACTTTCAGGTTCAGATCATCATCAAGAGAATGCCATGTTTTAGTGTCTGGAATCTTCCACAGATGGCAGGCGAATGATTTATCTGCTAAAATTTCCCATTTTGCAAAACATTAGCCAGTCATAGCATTATACATCCCATTCTCCCTCAGGCAATGCCCCAAGGCAAATGGTGTTTGCTATAGGGTTCCTTAAAAAGAACAGCATAAAATATAATTCACTCTTCATTATAATATGACATGAATGGCCCATCTGAAGCCACCTCCTAGTCTGTTGTGATGTGAATAACATGTCATCCGGAGTCATGATCAAGTCAGCCATCACATACCTCCATGTCATCTGTAGTTGATAAGTTCAGTTAGTTGTCATGGGATACATCCCCTCATGTCCTGCCCACTTCTTGGCTCTGATATTACTTGTGACCAAATGATGTCTAAAACCACAATCGACACACACTATTCACAATTAGAAATCCATTGAGTGTAGATTTTATTATACATTTATATATATATATATATATATATATATATATATATATATATATATATATATATATATATATATATACATACATGTATGTATATATTTATGTATATATATATTTACATACATACATACACATACACATATACAGTGTCTTTGATTAGGGTGAAAATATTTCTCAGACTGTGAGGATAAACATGAAGGCAAGAAGATGTACCATAATTTTTTATCTTGTGGTAGCTGTTTTTCTACTATTTTTTTTTATCTAATTCAATGACAAAAGCCAACAAACACTTAATAGCTATATTCTGTCAGGATAAGGCTTGGACTGATTCCTTATTTATTGATGAATCTTGTCTCTTGCAACAGTACCATTTTCTTCCTGTTGATATGCGAACTACTGCATAGTGATAATTATTATGGCATAAAACACCTCCACTCAATAAAGGAAATGGAATCCATTGTTGTAAAGTTAGTTTTGATATATTGTTGTCTGTATATGAAATGACTTCTAGATATTGCTCTTCACCAAAAGATGATCTTTCCAAACAAGAGCATCAGTCTCAGATTTATCACTGCTGTGTGCCTCATAACAGCTAACAGTATCTATATTAGAGCAATATCTGTATTAGACCATTTATTCTGGATTAGTTCCTTATTTGATGGTAAAATTACCAGAGAGGGTCAGCAAGCTCTATTTTGCTCCAAGTGTTGTAGAGATTATTTATTAGCTGTTATGGGTATTGAGATGCAGAGAGGCCAGGTGTAGGCCAGTGACAGTCATGCAGCATGAAATTTACCTTGAAAATGAAAATATCAGATTTTATGTATGGATTAAACCAATTAAAAATGGGGTCTACCCATCATCACTGTTTTCAGAGTATGTTCTTGATTTGTAGACTTTCTTGGTAATTTGTCACCAAATTAGGAAACTGTCCAATATCTGTGTTGCCAGACCATATGTTGGCCTTTACTAAAGTGCTAAAGCAATGTAGGCCATGGTAATTGCTTAACTGAGAGAGAGAGAGAGAGAGAGAGAGAGAGAGAGAGAGAGAGAGAGAGAGAGAGAGAGAGAGAGAGAGAGAGAGAGAGAGAGAGATGCAAAGATTGCCAAATATACAATTGTTCAAAGTTATTTTGAGTAAGATGTTTGAGAAATGAAGGAGAGAGAGAGGAGGGATAGAGCCCAAGGAATGATCCAGGGAGAGGGCTAGTGTACCCCCCATATAGTCTCCTATCCCTGGATGAGGGGTATGGGGTGAAGTAAAGGATAGGGGAATATGGAAAACAAAGGTAGGACCACGGTGAGGGAAACTGTGATGTAGACTCTGCCAATGATAGTTTCTCATTTTCTATCCTATCATATCATGGTAAAACATACTTCTGCCAAAATAGGAGAAAGTATGCCCTTAGAACCAACTGAATGAAACCTACATTTACATACGGTGGATTCAGTAGTTCTTACTATATTTTATGAAGCTAAATCAAATTGCCCATACCCTATCTATAGTCTAGGTGTGGGGCACTGATACTAATAATTATTAATGTTAGAATTGGCCAAAATATGGTTATTTTATTATATACTAACATTTAATATATACAGTTTAATTTCTGAGTGTAAGATTTTTACGTGTGAAAAATCACTTGTGAATTTACTTCACCTGGATTTAGATGTAGTAACTTTCACTTTTTTGTAACTGTTACTTATATGAATTAAAGGATTATTAAACCTTTTTCTATTGTTTATTGGAGCATTGATGTTGGTGCATGTATGAATACACAGTCAAGGGTGATTTTACTTCATTACATATCAAAGGCTCCAGAATTGGCCTACCTGATCTTCCTTATTTATGCCATTCCTTGAATTTTCAGAATGAGAAGTATATATTTTATTACATTTATTTTTGTTAATATAATAAGAATACTGTTAACCCATTCGTGCCGGGTAAAAATGAAAAAAAAAAGTGGAGGAAATGCTGTGCTCATTTTTTATATTTTTTAATGAAATTTCTCTACACTAGATGGGTCTGCTTTACCGGATATCATTTGGCGGGAAAATGTATTTTTACTAGTGCTATGAATATCGATGGTTATTTTTATTATAAACATTATAATTACTATAATGTTATAAACATTAATAACAGCAAAATAAGATAACGCAAAATAATTTCGTAAATTAAAGAAAAGGGTAAACAGATGAGACAGGCAGTACAAGTGCAAGTGGAGCCATCTATGTTTGTAAACAATCAAACAAGTAAACTCACAGTGGGCCCGTCATGTATACGTGACGCCCGGTGTGAATGGGTTAATCATGATAATGATAATAACATTAGTAACAATAATAATAGTAATAGAAACAAAAACTACAACCTTGAAAAGTCAGTGCATAAGGTAAACAGGGAAAGTTAGGTAGTTCAGGCTAATAATTGACTCCTTTGTGACTTAACACTATAGTAGACAATGCATGTACCGGAAGCCAATTGGTTGAGGCAGTCCATTTTTGTTTTAATTCTTTTTTGCCGCTTTTCAGACAATACGAAGCCAAGAGAAGTGGAAAGAGACCGAGGGAATCGTATGTTGAGGATGAGTTGGAGAAAGCTGTGAAAGATGTTATTAACAAAAAGATGGGATATGACAAGGCTGCAAAACTATACAAAGTTGAAAAGGAAGCTATACGGTACATGGTCAGAGGGAGACGCTCAGAGAAAGGTTCGCATTGTCCATTTTATACTTGAATTTAAATGTGCTTTAGTTCATTGTTATTCTTTAAATATTATTAAAGGTCATGTAAAAGTATAATCCTTTCTTGCATACAGACTATTTGATATTGTTTTTCTAGAACACCTTATTTCTGTTTGTAGCAATTTGAAGATAGAAATAAGTAGTAAGCAAAACTTTTATAATTGATTATCATTGGTTCTTGACATTAGTGGCATACAGTATAATGTAAAAGGGTGTGGTATGCTGACCATATGTCATGAAGGTGAATGTATTTTTGTGAATATTCATTCCTATTTGAAGAGAATTGAACAGCCATTAACTCATGGCTGCTTTGTATTGCTTTGAGTACTATAAACCTTTAACCCCTTGGTGCCGGGTGACGCGCTCAAAGTCGGTGCGCCGCCTTTGTTTGTTTAAGCGTAGAGTTTTTTTTTTGTTTTGTACACCCGGCGCCATTGGGTTAAAGGCAAAATTTCTCTCTATGGATCAGTTTAAAACTTCTCACATTAAGAGCTATGTGCCAAATACCATTTCTCTTCATGAAATTGTCCTAGATTAGTTCTCTGTGTATCACAGCATTTCAAAGTCTTTTCTGTAAGTCTTGATTCAGACTCTCTGGTTTGTTAATAGCAGCTAACACTGAGGACTCAGACGAAGTGGAGTGCAGCCAGGGTAATGACTCCCCCATGACCCTTGTGCCAGAACCCATCCTTGGTGAACCTGACCCTGGAGCTGCTCCCTTGCAACAAAAGCCAGGTACATGGGTCTGTTTCCTGAGTCTGAGGGGAAGAAGGGGGGATGAGGAGGAAAGTGAGAAGAGAATGAGTTCAACTGAAAGTAAAGATAGAGGTGGTAAAAAAGTAGTTTTGAGGATGTAAATTTCATGAATTTAAAAAATGTTTACTCTAACACTCTAGTTTGCTATTACAAGATATTTTGTATTAAAACTTATGCAAAATAAACATTACTATAAAAAATTAATGTCATCTCTTTGTTACACAGAGCATTACCATCTGCAACACAATAACCACTTAATGACTGTGCTGTCAGCTCTTGCCCAAGATGAAGTGTTTGTGGATGTTACTCTGACTGCTCAGGGTCATTCTGTTAAGGCCCACAAGGTAACAAGTATCATCTTTACGCACTGCAAATAAGGCTTATATTAGCTGGCAAAAGTAATTCAGGTGGAGAATTAATGAGAAGCTTAATAGACGTTTAATTGTGTCTATTATACTTTGCAGTCTGTGCTGTCTGCCATGAGCCCATACTTTAAGGGTGTACTACAGGATAACCCATGTCAACACCCCATCATTATCATGCCACACGATGTCAAATTTGAGGAGCTTGTGAACATAATAAATTATATCTATAAGTAAGGATATTAGATTTCTTGGCATGTTTTTTTCATGTTATTTGGAAATCTTTTTTGATAAATTTGATGTGTATGGGATTACTCAGTTTCTGCTATATTTCCTGTCATATAGGCATATTTATTGAAAAATATGGACTGCTTACCTTCAAGAGCCCATTGCAGGGGTGAGGTGACTGTTGGGGCAGGGGAGGTCAAGTCCCTATTAAAGGCAGCTGAAGTACTTCAGGTGACTGGCTTGGTTCCTTCCGAAGATATCACCATGCATCCCAGCAATGAAGACCTTGCCATAGCCAACACAATAAATGACTTCCTCACCTCAACAAATAGTTTTTGTGCTCCGGCTACTGACGTCACACAAGTTAGCACCACTCCAGCAGCAGTAAGCAAGTCTCAGAGTGCGGGAACACCCATAACCCCTGAGGCATCCACCTTCCCCACATTCATAGTGCAGGGGAAGGTGATTAAAAAGCCAGGACCAGTGCAAGCAAGTTTGCCTCTAGAGGAAAGCATGAAGACGCCATTTGAATTTGTTAATGTTGACATGGAATATATGAAACAGGTAAGCCTAAGCTGTGCCTGCTACTAGTGAAAAGATTATGCTAGTGATAACAGTATAAGATTTGCTTTTTCTTCTTTTGATTGTTCTTCTGTAAGTGTAATGATGATTTACAATGGGCATTGAAGTATTAGCAGTTTACCACAGAAGTATTTGCTGGAACTTTTATACAATTTTGCCACAGCTACAGAAAAAGGGAAGTGTACTTGAAGATGAAATAGGTTTTTTAATTTCTAATAATTCCAAGAATATATACCTAAATTGTCTATATTATATATGTGAAAGAAGTGATTTTAAGACTTGGAGAACATTTTTTTTTTTAAGGGAGATTAAAAAATTTACTTTGGATATCACATTCCCCCTGCCAGACTTTAAAGGATCATGCATACACTTTTATTCACAGAGTACCCCAACATTAGAAGGAAGAAGCATACAGGGTTTTGCCGCGCCACAACCGCAACACACTGCACACATTGCCCCCGCTCAGCCACATCAGAAGAATGGTGAATCATACAGTCCCATGGGAGGAGATGGAGTTAAAGAGGAGCCTGCTGCTGCTGTCAGCTTTCCCCAGCCTCACAACACAGCTCCAACGCAGCTCACATCTTGAGCATCATTGAGGTGTTGAGGTTGAGGCATATATTGCATTCATATTGATAAGATCACAAAAAGTATAGGAGGACTTTTTTGATGAAGAAGGGAAACAGTTAAGGAAGGCCGAGTGCCTCTAACTATACTGGTAAATTTTTTATCTAAAAGTGAAGAGAGTTGCAAAAAGGCTTAGTAAGTAATATTACCAACTGAAAAATAGTTATTTTGATAAAAGGTGATTTTAAATAATAGAGGGTACATGATTCAGCAGTCTCGGTTATGTTAGTTGCCAGATAGACTAAATAAAATCAAGTTATACATTTTTTTTATATCAGTGCTAAGGTTTTGTAATTATAAACCTGCTGCCACCATGTCCCATGTGAGTTTAGTGTATTTACTGACTTTACACATAGATTGTTCCAGAAGTACTAAGTCACCTGTTTATCCTTTTCCTTGATTTTTGGATATGTTTTCTTTTATCTTACATTGTTGTTTGCAATGCCAATTAGATTACATCATTATAATGTCTATGATAATAATATCATTGAGAGTGATAGTATTAATGATCAAAAAAAGACTCAAAGAAAAGTGAATTCAGGTTAGGTCTCAAGTTCTACTGATTGACTCCTTTGTGGCCAAACACATTGAGAGCCATCTATGTGCAGAGACATTTCACAAGATAATAGTACATTGAACACTACATTTTCCAGATGACTAGGGGTGAAATCAGTGTAGTATGAAAATACTATTTTCTAAATGGATTCTCTTTTGTAGCTGCTGTTTGTAAAACGCTAATATTTTTCTGATTTTTTTATCATAAGACTGGGAAAATTACAGGAGTTATAAAGTGGTTTTAGGTCCACAAGTTAAATGATTAGGTTTCTCTCAGGAGAAAAGTAATAGCTATTCATAATGCTGTGCTAATATGTTGTTTTTGTAGCACTAATTTTACCTTACCATACCTTTACTTTACTTTCCGTAACTTCACTGTGTCACTTTGCCTTGCATTGTCTTGCTTTTCTGTGGCGTACCTTACCTCATCTTACTGAATCTAACTTAACGTAACCGCATTGCTAAAGTCCTACCTTAGTTTAGATTACTCTGTTGTACCTCACACTACCTTTTTCTTTATCGAACTTTTCTTACCATACCAAGTTGCATGTTTTCTTCCTATATACAATAACTTTTCTTATCTTCTAATGCTGAATTTACCTTGCCTTACCTTGCCTCCCTTACCTTTCTTTTTGCCTTGCCTTACTCAGCTTATTTTACCTTACCTCACTGTGGCATAACTTTGATAACCTTGTAACCTTGATATGTAGATACTCATACCTTGCAATATGTGACGTTGCCTTGCCTTGTTTTTTTTTTTTTTTTTTACATTAGTTTACCTCATCTCACCTTACCTCTCTTCATCTTGCCTCACCTTAATTTACCTCAGCTCTCCTTACCGCACCTCACATTTCACCTCACCTCACCTCTCCTTACCGCACCTCACATTTCACCTCACCTCACCTCACCTCACCTCACCAAATACCATACTGCATTATAATGTAACTTACCTTACCTCACCTTGTCTTGCCTTGCTTTATCTCATCTCATCTCACTTCACCTCACCTTACCTCATCTCATCTCATCTCATCTCATCTCACCTCACCTCACCTCGTCTCGTCTCGTCTCGTCTCGTCTCGTCTCGTCTCGTCTCGTCTCGTCTCGTCTCGTCTCGTCTCGTCTCGTCTCGTCTCGTCTCGTCTCGTCTCGTCTCGTCTCACCTCACCTCACCTCACTTCAATCATCACATCTCATAGTGCCTCACTTCCTCACCTCATTCCTCTCATCTCATCTCACATGGCCTCCCCTCAGTCATCTTATCATATCTCGTCTCATCTCATTTATGTCACATTGCCTCACTTCACCAATTTAAGTCTGTTGTTTAGTAGAATTTGTCATATTTTTTCCTAAGAGTTAGAATTGGTAAAATGTCATGTTTCAAAAAGAAAAAATCAAGAAATAGCTATCAGGAAGAAAAAAACAATGGAAAGAAAAAAGAAGAAATGGAAATATAAAAGAAAATTGGAAAATGAAAAATGTGAAAGTGAGTGATGATGATGATAGAAAGGAATGGAGAAATAGTGGACTGAAGGAAAGGTGTAAAAAAAAATCTTTCATATCCTCTTAAATAAACAAACAAACAAAGAAATGAGTTTTGAGGGTGAAAATACAGAAAAAAAGAAAAGAAAAAAAATGGAAAGGAGGGTTGAAAAAGTATCATATATGAGTGAATGTTCAATAATGTCACAGATTTTTTGGTGCTGTTTATTTTGTAAGCAGGGAAGCATTATTAAAACCCATATTTTCTGTATTTTGTAGAGTAAGGGAAAATAGCTAAAAGAAGACGAGCACAAAAGGTCAGTGGAAAAGAAGAACTGAAAAGGCAGTTGAAAAGATAAGTACAAAAAGCTGGAAATGCTTCATATTTTTTGGTCTTGTTTCTATCCGAATACAGTCGTCTTCCAAAATTAGTGTACTACAGTTTTCATTTTAAAACGTGTCTAGTTGTTACAAACTTCTTTCCTACTTAGATATTTCTTTGTGACTATTCACTGTGTGTGTGAGCTCTTATTTAGTGTTTTGTTGTGGGAAATTATTTATTGGAGTTAGGGTTAATGCTTCATTTTTAAGGGTTACTGTTGATGCGTAAAGTAATCTTAATATTTTCTCTTGTTGTGGAAAATCATGAAAAAAAATGTTGCGACTCTTTTGCATAGGTAAGAAGTTTAGAATGTTGACTACTTTAAAGGTCTTTGGATTTATGTGACTGACAACTGTTGAGAGGCTTGGAATTGGCAACTAAATTTATATAGGAATAAACCATGTTAAAGTATGAAATTGTAAAACAAAATCATTGTGTCAGTAGTTTTAGAGTGTTTTAGAAATATTAAAAATGTTATCTTTTGATCACTGTGTTAAAAAAAGGCATGAAATAGAAAGTTGTTAAGATTATTGGTCATGGCAGAGCCTCCTATATTCATATACATTTGTGTGTGAGGCTTATTAGTTGATGTGAAGGAAGACTGTATGTTCAGTATGTACACTTATATCTTTACCATCTTGGTGATTGGTTTTACAAATTTAGAGTTCACTTAGTAACTTTAGAATAGGTAGAGGAAATAGCTATTGTAGTTAAAGGAAAAGAAATTTGATGCCTTTAATCTGAATCTGCAATGAATTTGTAATATCTTATGATCTTTACTAATACTAAGGTGCCAAGCATTCATTGTGCCACTGGATATTGATTGTTTGTTACATCGTGTGAAAATTTAGTAGAGGCACCCAGGTCACTAATATGTAAACCAAAAATACCATTTATAGCTACATTTGTTGCTTAAACTTAGTAGCATCTTATGGAGAATTCTTGATGCAAAACTTTATGTCTAGGGATGTTGACTAGACTATGCTTGGTATCAAAAGGAAATTTTATATTTGACTTCATTTACAAAGATGGAAGGTCTTGTAACTTTTTTGATGTGTCTTAGTATAGACAATACAAATATATCAGTCTTGCTTATGCTGCATTCTTATTATGAGTAGCAGTAACAGCATAACAGACGTGGGAAGGAAAGTTCAAATTGTTACTATTTATTAAACAGACTGACCATTTTTATATAGGATTATGATGAGTGGCTTTATTTTTCCGTCCACATAACTTAAAATGTCCTTAGAGTGAAATGTGCTTTTCAAACAGACCTTTAGCTGTTTTGGATTTCCCATCAGTGTAATATAGTTAATAGATATTAATAGAGTGAAGCATGTGAACTGTCATGTTTTTCAATCAGATATTCTTATTATTATTTTCCAATATTGGTTAGACTTTTTTTCTTTAAAGGTATTCTAAAGAAACCTGGTGGAAGAATATTGTGATAAATAGATATACATATATTTTTCTTATGAAAAATAAAATAATATAACACAATTTTGTTTTAGTACTCTACCACATACATGCTAAAGTTTCTGTTTAGATTTTAATTTTTTTTAATAGTATCAGCACAAACAAAATATTTTTAATTGTTTCCAAAGTGCCAAGTGGTGCTTCAAAGAGGCCTAATAATTCTGATAAAATTGAATACACTGTCAGGTAATTCTACCCTTGTTCTCTCTCCTAGATTATCTTGGAATGCTACTTGAGGCCATTTTTTCAATCAATTTTTAATGTTCATAGGACTTTGCAACATTTTGTTCTTATCTGGTTGAAATCTCGTCGCTCAATTTGAATGAAAACTAAGTTAATGAAAGAAAAGAAAGGTGAAAGGATTTTGGTAATGATGGGAACCGTACTTTACTTTGATTGAGAGACTTTGGAAGCTAGCTTTGTATCTATTGCTCAAAGATGAGTTTAAATAAGAAATATATGAGAATTGCAATATTTCTTGCACTCATCAAAAAAGAAAACTTTTGAATGGAGGTTCTTTTAATTTTCATTTCCCTCAGAATAACTGTAAGGTTATGAAATGGCCATTTAGTATTTTGCTGCCCTTTTTTAATGGAAAGGTAACACTAGAAATAATAGCAAACAAAGGAATCATTTATTCATATTTACTATATGCATATGAAACAATCTGAATCAGATATAAAAGCAAAAAATGATGAGAGACACAAGACGTCATTTTATGTTTAACATTTGTAAAAACATAAAAGAACAAAAATACAGGTAGAAGAATGATGATAACAGAATAATTATAACAAACTAGAATATAAGTAACTGGTAGTAGTAAGAATAATAGTAGTAATAGTAACAGCAGCAATAGTGGCAATAGTGATTTTAGTAGTAGTAGTAGTAGTAGTAGTAGTACTACTACTACTATTACTATTACTATTACAATTAAGAGTACCACTACTAATGATAATGATTATGATTATGATAATGATTATAGTGATAATAGTGATGATAATAGTAATAAATAGTAATAAAAATAATAAATGATAATGAGAGTAATAACAATAATAATAATAGTAATATCAATAATAATAATAATAATAATAATGATAATAATAATAATGATAATAATAATAATAATAATAATAATAATAGTAATAATAATAATAATAATAATAAAAAATTAATAATAATAATAATGATAACAATAACAACAGTAGTGATATTAATAATAGTAATAATAATAATAATGATAAGAAAAATAATGATAATGATAATGATAATGATAATGATAATAACAATAACAACAACAATAGTGATAATAGTAATAATAAAAGTAATAATAATAATAATAATAATAATAATAATAATAATAATAATAATAATAATAATGTCAATGATAATAACAATAATCATAACAACATTAATAACAATAATAATAAAAACAATAAGAAAAACAACAACAAAAATGATAAAGATAATGATAACAATGGAAAAAATAGTTATAACAATGCCGATAGTGATAAAAAAAATACCAATACCAATAGCAATAATGATGCCATTGTTATTGTTCTTGCTGTCTTGTTATCAACATCATCATTATTCTATTTATCTTTTTATCTTCAGTATCATGATTACTGTTGTTATCTTTATTATTATCATTATATCATTATTGTTATTGTTACTATTTACATTATTTTTACTATTATAATTGTTATTGTTATTGTTATCATTATTATTATTATTATTATTATTATTATTATCATTATCATTATCGTTATTATCACCACCATTATTTTATTGTTATCTTTTTTATTTTCATTTTCATTATTGTTATTCTTGTTATTATTATTATTATTATTATTATTACTATTATCATTATTATTAATATTGTTATTATTGTCATTATTGTTGTTATCATTATTATTGTTATTTTTATTATCATTATTATTATTATCTCTTTTTCACACTTTGTGCCTGGCTGTTCTCATTGCCGAGTTTTATGCTGATAGGCGGTCCATAACAAATGGCCATGGGCTACCAGCATTTTCTTTTTCAAATCTCCAGCACTTTTCGCAAAATCCTGGCAGTTCCCAACAACGCAGTCTTTTGAAGTACTCCTAAGTTGCAGTGAATCCCAAGCTTTTCAACCCACTTCTCAAATCCTTTGGTCTCAGATCCCAGAGCTCCAAAAGCTTTTCTACTTTTTTCTTCTCCTCTGTCACGTTCGTATCCGCCAGTACTGTTATGTCGGTGATAATTGCCGTATGTTCCTTCTTTTCTACCAAGACTAAATCTAGCCTTCTTGCCTCTATCACATTATCACACTGGATATTTGCATCCCATAACAACTTTACATCTTCACTCTCACAACTCCTTCAGGGGCATGCTCGTACCATTTCTCGCTGCATCCCAGACCTCTTTCCTTGCATATATCCAAGTGGATCTTTCTCGCTACATTATCATGACGCCTCTTGTACTTCCTTTGAGCTAACTTCCCACATGCACTAACAATGTGTTGAATACTTTCACCTGCTTGGCCACACAATCGACACAGGGGGCTTTCAGCCGTTTTATCAATGTGATACTTCACATGATTTGCCCTGATCGATTGTTCTTGTGCGGCACAAATTAAGGCTTCTGTACCAGCCTTCAAATCGCATTTTGACAACCCTCCCCAAGTCTTCTCCTTGTCTACATCATCGGTTAAGTCTCTGACGAACTGTCCATGCATTCTCATTCCAGTCCACCTATCTTTCGCTTCGTTTTCATTTCTTGTCTTAAGATCTCTCATCTCCTCCAGTTCACTTGCATTTAATTCCTCGAATTTTGCTACACCCTTTAACAGTTTCTCTTCAGATTTGGACAAGTACACTTTCAACCTACCCTCCTCCTCTTTG